AACTTTCTATTGCCACTACCACCACCAATGTATCAAGAGATGATGACACCCATATGCACAACATACCTTACTCAACATTGAGCAGTGAGGGTGGTGCATCACCAACAGCAGCAATCTCCTCTTCATGGTCGATGATACCATCTCATCTCAATCCACCACAACAACCACCACCACCACCACAACAACAACCACCAGTGCCACCACCACTACCCCTCCTCCATTCTCAACAAAGTCCTTCATCATCATCATCACCACAACAACATCAATTTTCACCACAACAACAACTACAATCACCACCTGTCCCTCATCACCACTCTCAAGAATCTATTTTTGTTTGTCCTGCTTTTCAATTAGGAAACATGTTCTTCTTAGAGGAATGTCTCAATGATGAAGAAATGTACATGATGTATCATTTAGGACCTAATTATATGGGAAGTTTTGATGAAGATCTTAGTCAATACTTTTGTAATGAAATGATTAATGAGGATAGTGTTGTGAAATTTAAGAATAAGATTTATTACATGAAAGATTGTTCGAATAATGTTGGATTGAGTCAATTATCCAATCGATTTGTATTTGCATTTTTCGAGTGTTGATGCAAGTGTCATTACACGATTAGCAACATCTTCTTCTCAATCCAATACTTTGGATACTGTGGATGTTGTATTTAGTAATAATAAGAACAAGACAAAGAAGAAGAGAAATAATCATCATGAAGGAGTGACCACCACTGAAACAACAACCACTACTCCAACCACTGGAACAACAACCACTACGACTAGTACTACAAGTACAGGTACAACAACCACTACAATGACATCTTCTACAATCTCCTCAAAGAATGCCATTCAAGGAAATACTCTTATTGGTAATAATAGCAGCGGTAGTAGTACGAATAGTGGCATGACATCACTACCATTGACTAATTCTACGAATAGTAGTAATAGTAATAGGACCAGTGGGAATACAAATTTGACTGGTACCACCCCAATGACCAGCAATAACAGCAGTTCCAATCCTAATAATAGTATGGATACCTCAAGTACCAACTCTGCCAATACTACCACTAACAACCACTACCACTACCAATACTACCACTAACAGTACTGCAACGAATTCCACCACCAATGGCAATCACTTTTACAACACTTCAGATATTAGAGCATACATTCCTAATAGAAATTATAACAATGCAAATGCTCTCTCCTTTCAAAGAACTTCAAACTTTGTTCCTATCAAATGCTATCTCGCTGGCAAAACGACACTGGTCTCAAAATGTACATTTAAGGCAAACTTGTACGTGATTGGAGGAATGAAGACCATTTTAGGTCTCTATGCCAAAATGAGAGATCCATCGAGTAAGATTTATGTCTTGTTACTATTAGCCTATTTAATGAAATACAATACACTGAATACCTTGGAAATGAATCGATTGGGAGGATATGATATGATTAATTATCATTTATTGATTCAAAGCAATTCCTCAAATCCATTTATCATCACCAATGCTGTGTTATTATGCATGTTGGTCATGTGTGGATTGAATATTCCAATTGAAACGATTTATGAACATGTGAGTCATGGTGTTAGTCCGAGTGGTCATTCGAGTGGTGGTGTTCGTTCAACACCTCTCAAAGTGAGAGACATTTGTAAGAGTGGAGTGATTAATAATTTTATGGCATTTGAAAAGTTATTATTAGATTATAGAATTTGGCATTCCAATGCTCATGTGAATACTTTGAAGAAAATGTTAAAATGTTTGGCTGAATTAGTTTCATCTTCATATCGAAACAAAGTGAATGAACATCATCGAGTCATCATGCTCACCACTGTCAATGGTGTTAAAAGATTATTATTTGCCATGTCTCAAGGATATGTATTTTCAGAAAAGATTGAATGGCCAATCAAAATCATTACACCTACCATTAAGATTTTGAAATGTATCATTCCAACACCCATTTCAATGACTTATTTATATCCCATTGTTCAATATATTATTTTAACTCATCATAGTGTGACAGGATCATCATCCGATCATAGAACAAGTCAGAGTGGTGGTCATTCTAGTGGTGGTCATTCTAGTAATAATGGTAGTGCTCATGGTCATTCTAATAGTGGTCATTCTAGTACAAGCCATCAAGACCATGGTGAACCTATTGAACCAAGGAAATCCGTTCTCAACATGTTTTATAATTTAATGGAAGAAGCTCCAGATGATGTCTTGGAAGATTTCCATTCCGTTCTTCCTACTTTACAAATCATTGCACTTTTACATACCAAATCAAATCTCATTCGATGTATTCTGTTGAAAATGTTAGGAGTATATTTATCAAGAAAGGAATCTTTGAGAGAAAATTTTGTAAAAACAAATGCAGCACATTTATTAGCTCAACAATTATTAGAAGTTGGAAATCCATCACTTTTAGAATTTCAAGTCATGTTTGATTTAATGTTAGGATTATTTTCATCATGTTCAACACCACCAACAGCAAGACAACAGAATATTCCATCCATGATGATGAGAATGATGAATGATCAAAATAGTGGTGGTAATAATGTTGGTCATAATAATGTTGGTCATAATAATGTTGGTCATAATAATGTTGGTGGTAATAATGTTGGTGGTCATAATAGTGGTGGTCATAATAATATTACCTTTCATATGAAGAGTGGTGGTATCAATAGTTTTAGTGGAATTTTTCAGAGTACTACTCGTCAATACCATCACCATCCTCCTGAAAATACCACAATTACCATGAATCCAGTTGAATCATCATTACCACTACTCAATAATGATCATGATGAACCTACCATGATGAATCAAGATCACAGCAGATCACAAACCTTTCTCTCTCAACACTTGTTGGAATTAGGATCACCTGAAGATGACGACGACCATGGAGAATCTAAATTTAGAACCAACTTTTTTGCAACTTCCATTTCTAATAATACGATTCAACAGATTGTGAATCATGATGACACGAGTAGTGTTGGCAGTGGAGTGGATGACACTCGAAATGTCAGTGTCGAGTCGTCTCAATCTATTTTTAATTCACCTGGAAAGAGCAAACGATCTAAATCTGTCTTTTTCAATTCTCTATTACCACCATCATCGAGTGGTAGTGGTAGTAGTACTAATACTACTTCTACTTTTATCAATACTACCAATAGGACCATTCCATCCTTCTCTTCTTCACACAATAGACTTAAAAACTCCATCAATCTCATTGAATATGAATTTTCACAATTAGAATTTAAAGAATTCTTAATTCCAATTCTCAAATTAATTCCTCACATTAGAGATATTGATGAGAAAATTAATGTCTTTGAAACTATTTTTAAACTCTTCAAAAATGGTGGAGAAAAACTTCGATTATATTTTTATGAAATCAAAGCACATTGGTACATTCAAACCTATTTATCAAATTTAGATTTAAAAATTGAATCTACATTTAAATTTATTCAACTCGTTTTAGATTTTATCATTGAATATGTGAATTATAGTATTTTAAATATTCAAAAAGCATATTTAAATCAATATGGATTGAAAGGAAGTGTTGAAATACTCACAAGTATATTACAATATTTATTAGTGATGGAGAAATCATGTTATGATATTATATTCATTCAAAATATGCAAAGATATATCTTACAAGGAGTTCTCTTCTTTTTCCAAAAGAATTATCTCTATTCGGAAAAGTCTTTTTCTTCTGTTCGAAACAAACAAGTTGAAAAGAAGGAAAAGAAAATTAAGGGACATTTGAATGCAGTATTTTTATCGTATTGTACTTGTGCAACAGATTATATAATTCAATGGTTTGATTTACCTGAACATGCACCTTGTGTATTTTCTAAGAATTGTGGTTCAACTACATGTGGAAGTGGTGGCACAAGTAATTCAAGTGGTAGTACTGATTCAAGTAATTCAAGTGGAAGTGCAAGTGGTAGTACTGGTTCAACGAGTGGTGGTACGAGTGGTGGTGGTGGTGGTAGTGCTACTTTTTCTACTACAACTCACCAATCATTCATCTCAACCCAACAACAACATGTTACTCCTCCCACTTTACATTTGAAACAGTCCACAAGTATGATCTTTTCAGAATCTTTTCTAAATCATTACAATTTAGATCCTCAAAGTAGTAATCAAAGTCATGCTGTTGAGGGTGGTGTTGAGGGTTCTACTACTACTACTAGTAGTAATAATCACCAACACAACAACATCTCAATGATTTCAAATGAACAAGTCATACTCGTCATTCCTCAACAACATGATGCTATGGGAGAACATGCTCTTCGAACGAATCATGCATATCCTACCATCCTAGCTCCTTCTTCTTCTTCGAATACCATCACCACCACCTCCAATACCACCACCACTACAATGGTCAATGTGATTGATAATTATGTTGGATTGAGAAGTAATGAATCCAATCCTTCCACATTGAAGAAAGTGAATACTAGAAAGATGATACCTTCATGGGAACAATCTAGTCTCTCTGTGAAATATTTTTATGACTATGAATGTATTTTAATGAGACAAAAACAACAACTCGAAGAAGAAGTAGAATTAACAACAAGAATGGAGAATATGGTACATGATGCAATGAATAGTTCTATCCTTATGACAACCATGGATCATCCACAAGACAAGAATAATCATCAAGGTGATGATGAACCACCATACATGAATGATCATGACATGAATGGTGGTTCTAGTTCCAACAAGAACACCATGATGGAACAAGCACATGCCTCTTCCTCACTTTTGAAACAACAACCTGAGACAGTCTCCTCTCAATATCAGCGCTCAGTATCCCCAAATGCCTCTCAACAATCTCAACCACCCTCTACTTTTCTCACCAACAACATACCTCCCAACATACCTCTCAACAATCTC